AGGATACTTTCATGCCTTGTTCTCCACAGGCTTTGGTTCAATTTGTCTTAGCTTATCATCAGGCAGACTTTCTTGATTTTCTGTACTTAGAATCTCTGTCACCTGTATGTTGGGCAGTCTCTGTTAATCCTATCCATTTTATCCCCCACCTAGTTTTCCACCTTAGTTTTACCTTATTGACTCTCCTTCAGAAAATGTCTACTTACACCTCCTTTCTTACGCATCCCACCTATATTTAGGGTATTTTCTTGGGATACCTCTTCCTCATTCCCTTCATGTTGGGCAATTCTCCATCTTCAGTTCTTTCCCTCCACATGTGACTTATTTGCTTTTCGGATCATCTGGGATAGGACACTGTCTTGTACTATTTGTTTAGTGTTCACTTCTAATAGGAACTTACGGTCAGCTCTTTTTTTCTCCACCGGTCCAATTTTTGGGACTACTCTTGTGCATTTATCATCACATGGGGTATCTACTATGCTATATTTTATTTTTTGGTTGCTCTTTTGTTTCATTCTGAGTCATTGCCATCTTTATTCATGTTCCATATCCAGCACCTTCTGATCCTTTACCTGTCCTACCTACAGGTTTCCTCATTCATTGTTTATGCTCAATATTGATTGGAGTTCTGGATCGATTGATCCCACCTCAATCACTTCTTGGTTCTTCTCCGTTTTTAATATGTAGTCTTTGATCACAATTGGGTGGGCTGATAATGCCCATGGGACCCTTTCTAATTTTTCCTTTCTCGGGATGCTATGTTAGGTTTTTTCACCACGTAATTCAGTACCAGTTTATGCCTTGCCCTTCAGACTTGTTTCGGTTCTGTAGTCTTTTGTCAGGTGGTCTGCATTTACACTACTTCAGCTTTTTGGGGGATTTTACTAACACAACTACTCAGATTTCTGGCTTCAATTAGCTCCATATGAATGGGGTTGGTCATAACATACTCATCTGTTTCTTACGCAAGCAGCTCGAGTATTTGGATTTTCCAGTTGCAAAAATTTTTTCTGTTACCTACCTAACAATCTTAGCTATGTGGGGAGTGCCCTATCTGTCTGAACCATCAATTATCCTCCTCAAATGCATTCGTTGGAGCTTTCTGTTATCTATGCCATTAGGGTTCACTATCTTACTTCTAGTGAGGTTCTAATGCATTGGGGGATGTAGCATCTATGGAAGCACTTCTGCCTTTGGGTTTGGCACATTTGCAATCTTTTCAGAAGATGTTGCATGAACCATGGTCTCTTCCTAGGGTTCTATTGGATTCTTCTCTTAACTTTCCTTGTTCCGTCTTCAACTATGTGTGGTTGAACATAATCCCTCATGTCGTCCTTTTTACCTTTCTTCCTGTTGTCCAAATTTGACTAATCATGTTTCATTCTGACTATTTGAATGTGTTGGCTTATACCACTGGTCAAGGGGGCACTCATTCTTTTTCTTTTATTGTATTGTGCTTGACAGTGGATCTCCCTTCTTGAACCTACACACTTGACATACATCTCCTGGCGTGTTTTGCTCCTGGTGCTTTTGTCCTTGTTACAGATTGCCTTTCCAGTTTCTACACAATCTCTCCCTAAACTAGTAAACATATTGTCCACACATATAGTGCTGACAATTTCTATTTTGATTCCATATCTAAAAGCTGTAAAATTTAGGAGAGTCAAAATAGGGATTTGGAGCTTGAAGAAATAATGTCAACACTATGTCTCAAACCTTCAGCTTATTTGTTTACTTTTTTCGTGATTGCATTTTCACATTAAGCTACCTATTTTGTTTCTGTTTTTTTTTAAGATCCCTATTCTCCCTTTTGAAATCAACAATTTTTAATCATCTTTTTATAATATATCCAACCCTATTTGCATATGAAAGGTAAAAGTAACTAGCAAAGAATGCAAAAACCTTTTGTCAGATGTTCCAGAAGTTGCTGAACATTACTAGCAGAATAAGATATAACTTCACTTAAGCTTTGTTTAGTGAAATATTCTGAAAACTAAAGTTTTTCCCCCTGTACATTAACAATAAATCAGTGTTTTTTTAGTAGTATTTTGTTTTGTTAGAGATATTGAATAAATCATTTGCTATAAGTACGTAGGACTAAAAGTAGGAGCATGTGGCTTTTTGCTGAACATTAAGACTTTCCTGTAGAGCAAAACAACTTGAAGTTGTTGTTTGCTAAATATTAAATATTTATTTTCATTTTATTTTATCAATATAATGATCTATAATTTTTCATAAAATCAAATAAATAGTAAGTTATCATATAATTAGTAGCTTATAACATCCAATTATTAATTTTTTTGTGCCAGGTACGAAAACATCACAACTATGAAAAAATTTAACACTGTATATAGTTCCATTGCCTGGTGGTGTGACTGAGCTATATTGACAGTAAATATGTCATGGATGTTGATCATTTCACATAATGAAAAGATAGTTACATGGCCACTTACAAAAAACAATTCTGATACATAAATGATATGGCTATGTATGTAAGGAAAAATATATATGTATTATGAATATTGGCCTCATTCATAGTTGTGTGTGTGATTTTTATAGTATGAGAGACCTTATCTGTGTTTTTTTATTGAAGTAATAAAAATAATTGAGCTTATTTCCAATTGAAACCTCATTTTCTAGTCCATTGGTTTATCACAAATGCTTGTACTTTTTTACTATTTTAAACTTACATTTCTGATTATTTCAAAACAATTGTAACAAATTTCAACTTATAATTGTGTCCTTTTTTGGGGAATTGATTTAGAATTTAAATTTAACAGACCAAGTGTAAAATTTTATAAACCACGAACAAGATTGCTCAGCAACATTACATAAAATAATGTTCATTTCATAAGGAAATTTCCCTAACTGTATTATAGTATCTTAGTCCTTCAATTTATTTGTTGAGAATTGAATAATTAGTTTTGCCTAAAATTAGTCACAGAATGACGTTTTACTGCTGTGGAAGTGAAAATGGGCCATTTATACATACCAATACAGTTTAGTTTTTATTTCTGATAGTTTTACTAAATGACAGCATATTGAACAGTAATGAACAAAATGATTGAAAAATAAAGTAGAAACTCCTTCCATACTGTCATTTTAAACAACCAATAATGGGTGTTTTATAATTAATACATGTTTGTAATGCTGTTTTCCATCATTGCATTGTTTTCCATGGATAAAGAGAAAAATATACCAATCATGTAATATTGAGGTTAGTGGTAACTGGAGTATGTATGATATGTTTAAAAAGTTGTATATTTTTTACTGGTGTTTCATCACTGATAACTGTAAATATTAAAAGAAGTATCTTTTAAATACCAAGTTAACTGTTATGCTAAGCTTATTAAGTTCTGAACACACTCTGTAGATAAGCATGTTTGTTTATACAGAAATTGCACTCATCATTGGCTTAGCTGAGATACAAAGACAGTTTGAGTGGACAGTTATTACAGCTGAGTGTTTGGTTGAATTTGACAGTCAATTATTCTCATATGAGACTTGGATAATTGGAATAATCAAAAATATTAGTGATCAGAAACATGGAATTTAATTAGTTGATTTAATTAGTTAATTGAAAATAATGATAAAAACATTTTGATTACTTGGATAACTAGAATAATTGAAAACATTTATAATAGGAAACACCAATTTTGGTTAGTTGGTTATTTTCATAACATTAATTGAATTAATCACCCAGTTTTCACAGCTATGCTGGACTCATTTGAGGTATGTTCAAGTATACTCAATTTAATGGTTGCCTTGATACTTGGATGTTCATTTATGTGAACCTTTAGTCATTGTGTGTAGAAACTGATGTTACATGTGCAACAAGGAGAGCAATTTAATGAACTATACTTGCTGCTATCAGAAATGTGATTCTATATTTGGATTTTAAATGCTGTGAATGACATCTTGGATTAAAAATGTATCTCAACTATATGTTCATTTAATCTGTATAAACAAGCTTACACAGCTTTCGTTTTACACATAAGGAACATGTTTTTCATTTTTTAGGCAACACAATAGATCAAATAATTTATAAACTTCATATTTTGATTATTCAGTTCAGCTCTGCTTGTTTAAGTAATCATGTTTTATAACATTCCAATGAGAAAACCATTTTTTCTAAGAACTACTGGATGCTGTCAAATTTCTTATGTAAAACAAATCATAAGTGTGTGTAATTTTGTAAAATCTTAATAAAGTTTTCATAAATAATGTTCACATGAAACTTTATGAATTAAATAAAACACTCTGATTCATCATTGTTATTATGAAATAATTAAGGCATTGAAAAACTAAAAGTTGATCAGGATGTTTAAAGATAATATAAGTATCATTGATTTAGTTTTGGCAGTATAGGGGTTTAAAAAACATCAGCCATTCAACCAAACAATATTTTTCATAAAAACAAAGTAAAATATTAGCCAAGGAATGAATGGATTTTGGGATCATATCTACACTATCTGATCAGAGAGAAGTTATTGGTCAGATAACTTTTCTGAGTATCAAAATTCATGAGTTTTAAAAACTCAAACTTAGAAGTCAACATCTGCACTGTAATTATAAGTTTTATCAGTAGACTGTACATATACATATATAAGTTACTGATTGTCTGATATTTAAATATTCATTTTTAAGTTAATAAATTATCCTTAACAGTAAATTCAGTTGTAAGAGTTTTGAGAAAGGGACCAAAAAAAAAAACCCTTTACACTGACTGTCTCACACGCATCATCCAATGTGAAGGACTTATTCAGTGCACACTTATAAAACAAAAGATCCACTTGTGAGTCTACTTAGGTTCTAGACCTAGTATTCTATATGGCTTATCGAAAGTACATAAAAAAGTTGCTTCTTTTTGACGTATTCTTCCCTCTTTAACTCTCATTTTTAAATAATCATTTTTTGACTTAATTCGTATTATTTAGTCTGAGTAAGATTTAATTTAAGAAATTTAGTTGTATTATTCAAAATACTGTCACATTTATCTAGAAGAAAAAAATTACCTGCAAGTGGTTCTTTTATTTCAAAGAATTAATACATCTTCCATGACAAAAAGTGAGAGGAAAATAAGGTTGTACTGAAGGATGAAGAAAAATGAATTCAGAACAATAGACTATCTGTACCGTGCCCACCACTGGTATCGAAACCCAGTTTGTAGTGTAGTTTGAGCCTGCAGAACCACTGGGGGCAGAACAAATGTAATAATCTGTTTTGTTTGAAACAAAATTCATTAAAGGTTGATATTTTAAAATTTCTGTAATGTTTTTATTATTTTTTGCCAGATTCTACTGACTGGAGAAGAGAAGATGTCAAGATTCCTACATCTATAGCTCAGGTAAGAATTTTTATAGATTGTTTGGTAGTGTGTGAATGTCAAGCTCTAGGTTTTGCTTTTTAACCAAATGGTGCTTGTCCTCAGTAGAATTTTTATACTTGAAAAGCTGAAAATGTTGAATGTGTTAGGTTATTTCTGTTATCAACAAAAAAGTTATGTATTGTGATCTTAAGCTTTGAATTATCAAATATAGCAACAAACAGCTTGTGTGGAAAAATAGAACATGAGTGAGCATTTCAGAGTTATAATTGTTAATGTCATAGACATTTTATCGTGAAAGGCATTAAAATAACTTTTACTTCTATAATATTCAAGATTCCTAAGCAGGCTTGCTATTATTTAATCCACAAAAGAAACAAAAAGACTTCCAAGTCCCTAATTTTTGAGTTTCTTGGTTATTGATTTTTTAATGTTAGGAAGGGCTGATTCAAAAACATTACTGTAATAGTAGAGTCAGAGAGTTCAATTTTCATTATTTCTGAAACTTTCTCATCTTTCATATCCAGCAAATCTGTACTTAGTTTTTCCTACTAGAAGGATCATAGCCTGGTCTTATCATTTTCTTCGATATTAAGTGGAATATTTGCAATTGGCAAGTCTTTATTTTCATTTTGTTTGGCAATAGTTCTTAATGTAAAACTTCTAATTGAATTCTATTTTTTAAAAAATGGAGTTGAATTTCTTGAATTAGCACTAAGATCACTTTCAAATGATGTGTAATAATTCAGGTGTTTTAGATAACTTTAAAAATTGTTTGAATAAGCTCATTGCTTTACTACTTTTACGAATTCCAAAACATACTTACCTTCTCTCACACTACAGCTATTACTTGATTGCTAGGGTTTCCTTCCTTTGCCCATCTAAACATTGCTCTGAATTTTATTTCACTTGCTCCAGTCTTTTATTTCCCACTTAATTGCCCCTGGCAATATCTGTCATGCGACACTCTCCCCCCTACATCAATGTGCCCTCTATCCTAGTACTGTATATAAGCACCTCATTCAGAAAATATTATCACTTTTTCTCGACAAAGCGTTCACTAACAGGTTTCTATGTACTACAGTCGTTTGAGATACTTTGAGCATTCTTCGTGTTACCTAGTTGATTTTCAGTTGAAAAATTCTCTCATTTGGCAAGCATATATATGGCATGAATTCCTGGGTTATTATTTATTCCTATCCTACCTCTGATATCTAGCATTGCTCAACTATTGGGGGAGGGAGCCACTCTCAATGTCAATGTCAAAGACTGTCAATGACCTTATTTGTAGTGAGATTGGGACATATATTCGGTCCAGTGGTGTTCCTCTGGGGGACTCTGAGGCTGCATTTGAGGGTGATCCTGGATGTTCTGGAGAGAATTTAAGTTTACTTTTTCCTGCATCTTTCTTTATTCTGTTGTCTTCTCAGGAGGCCAATTTGGGATCAGCCACCTCAGGCTCATTCTCTTCAGTAGGCCCATCAAGTGTGTGATGTTTTGGCTTTCCCCAGTTACTTTTAAGCCTGCGCCTTCCTTGATGGTTGATAGGTCTGGGAGCGAATACTTAGTTCTCCCTCCATCCACTGATATTGTGGCTCATGCAGGGAGGTTTACTGCTCAGTTTCATGAAGGGACAGTTGTGCCTTGTCTGCCATGGTTGTCAGAGCTATTTGATGTAGCCTACCACCACCAGGTAGAAGCATATTTCGACTCAAAAATACACCTGCTCCTGGAAATTGAGGTTCTAGAGCATAGTCTGTAGTTAACCTGATAGATCACAACTTTCTAGGATTTGCCTTGCCCTGTATACAGTGATGAGGTATTTACAAACCTTTGTTGGAAGACTCTCAGGATCACCAAGTCCATTTGATGATGAGTTGGAACCATTGTTAGCATGCACATTGATTCAATTTTAGCTTCTATTGGCATCTCAACTTTCCTTGACTTCTATTCGAGGGTCCTGACATCAGTTCGTTGGTACCCATTTCCAAGAGTTCCTCCTCATGATCTGAACACCACCCGATTGTATGCATTTGGGATCTATGGGGGCTTGGCTTCAAGAATTTCTGAACATGTGGAAAACCTTAACCATGGGTCCACGGGCACTACAGGTCCTTGCGTCAGGATTATTCATTCCAATCATCACCATTATCCACCCAACCTGTAGGGTTTCCACCTCCTGCAGATTCTCGGATTTCGGAACTTTGTTCTAGGGCTGTTAGAGTTTGGTTGATCTAGGGGGCAGTGGACAGAGTAGTGCCAGTTCTTCCAGGGTTTTATTCCCATCTGTTTGTTGTGCTCAAGAAGACATGAGATTGGCATCCAGCATCAATCTTTCTTGTCTATATCAATTCGTAGTTCTTTCAAGGTTCAAAAGTGAATCATTCCTTACTCTCCGTTGGCATTTTTTACTAGGATTGTGAATGTCCAAGTTACATGTTGCCGACTCCTCTCTGCACATTTCCATAGTGGCGGCATCCTACCACTATCTGTGTTTTGTGTGCAAGGATCAGGTGCTGCAGTTCAGGGCTCTGCTCTTTAGACTAGCATTGGCACCATATGTGTTTGCCAAATTGTACAAGTGTTTCTCATCACTTCCTTTCCCTAGGCCTAGGCACACACCATTCTGGTTACTGCTGGCACCATCTCATCAGTTGATAGAATGTCACACCCAGATTCTACTTTCAGAAACAACCAAGGGAGGCTTCATTATCAGAGACATCTATTCACACTCCAACATAATATATCATCAGTTTGAGTATCTTTTTCAACACACACATTTCAGTTGTGTTCAGATGACTTCCATCCAGCTCTGAGTTAGGAAACAGAAAGTCCAACTCTTACTCACCTGTCCTTCTCTCACTGTGTGGATGGTCCTTTCTCTTTTGGGACTATAAGCATCACTCTAATCCTTCATTCCTTTGGGACAAGCACATGAGATATCTCTTCAGTTGTCTTTATGCAATCAATGGATCATGAACAATGATTCACTGGATTCCCCAGTTTTCTTACTCAGGATCATCTTCGATCTTGAGGGGTGGTTATATCAGTACAAAACTGCAATATGGATTCCTTTGCTGCCATCTCATCCAGAGATCCATCTCTTCATAGACACCTTTCTTCAAGGATGGGGTATATATCTCTCTCAATGATCAGGAATTCCTGGGTCTATACACAGACAACAAGGCTTCCCTACACAATGTATTAGACCTTCTTGCTGTTCAAATGGCGATGTCTCATGGTCTCGGCTTATAAGGGTAAAATCATCAGGCTTCTCTTCGACAAATCCACAGTGGTGTCTTACATTTCCTGTCAAGGGGGCACTTGCTCCAAGGCTCTTTGTTTTCAAACCTTGGATCTTCTCTCTATTGAGACCATTCCTATCATATCATTCTACTAGCTTGCCATGTTCTAGGGGTGATGAATTTGGTGGCAGATCAGTTGTCTTGACTAAAATGGATTCTCCCGACAGAATGGATGCTGCATCACGAGGTTTTCTGTTGGTTTCTGATTGATGTGTTGGCCACTCTTAGGAACACCCACCTACTCCAGTACCTCACCCTTGGGCATTAGCAGTAGATGCATTCCTTCAGGACAGGATGGGATTACACCTCTAGACCTTCCCACTAATTCATATATTACAAAAAGTAATAGCTGATTCATTACAACCCATTGTTGGGTCCTGTTGATAGCACCAGATTGGCAGCTAAACCCAGATTTCTGCTTCTGTGGTACCTTCAAAAGTGCCCACCTTTTCCACTTCCTCTTTGGCCATCTCTGAGGCAGCCACAATCTGACATCATATATCCATCCATCTTGAAGCTCAAGCTTTGGTCAAGGAGGTTATGTGGTCCTTCTCATGGTGTCGGGGTTTAATTTCTAAGGTTGCCATTTATCTGTCTCTGTCTTTGCTTAATCCCATGATGGACATTTATCAACAAAAATGGCACACATATCTCCAATGGTGTATTTAGAGGACGTTGAACCCACTTTGATCAGAAGTGCCAACCATAACCCTTTTTTGACCTGGCTCTTTGACAAGGGTTTTGCATCTTTCACAATTGCCCTGTAAAAGGCAGTCTTATTGACTATCTTTTGATACTCGAGACAAACATTTTCAAGTCCCCAATACTCTCCAGCTTCCTCGTGTCATTTTGGGGTCCTTTGTCTCAAACGACTGTTTAAGTTACCTAACTGGTATTCTAAGGTGGCATTACATGCCCTTTCTCAACGTCCGTTTGGGACCTTCATGTACCATGTATCACCTTTTCCTGAAGGTTTAATTTATGTTACTGCTGACCTACAGACACTTTATCATTTTACCTACGTCCTCAGACTGGTTCTTCTTCCCTAAGACACTGGCAGCCAGTGCTCAATTTTTCTCACTTCTAGGGCCAATCAGACTTCAATCATTTGTTATGTCCAATGAGGGTCTTGAAGTGTTATGTTTCCCACACTAATGCCTTTAGAGGAGCTAGGCAACAACTTTTTATTCACTGGGATCCTTCTGTTTCCCGGGATTTATTCCTGGTTACATTGATGAGGTGGATATGAAAATTGATCCATAATGCTTATTCTGGGCTCTCTTTGAAGGCGAGGAGACTTCTGTGAGTCATGCCTCATCAGATTCATCACATTTCTATGTACTTAATGGCCTGGTTGAATTGCATGCTGGAGGACATTTTGTGAGTTGGTATGTGGACTTCCCCCAATACTTTTATCTCACATTGTGTGTATGATCTGGCAGTATCTTCTTCTGAGGGTTTTGACTACCCCCTGTAGCTATATGTCTTAACCGCATCTGCTAGTATTTTCATTGCTAGTCTTTTCTCTTCTGAGCATGGTGTTTAGTACATAGTTCAAGGAAGAGGGTCAATTGTCTCCTTGTATTTCTGAATCTAGAGTGGTCCCATTCAGGTTCCTTGTTTCAGCACAGTTTGTTCCACGTTCTCCACATAATTCCAGAGATAAGTGGAATTTACCTTGCCCACTTGGTTTGGAAGTGAAGATTTGTGTTCATA